TTTCTCTGTGCCACTTTGAAATCCCTCCCTCCTTTCCCCTAAGCAACCACTGATCTACTTTCTGTCACCATACATTAATCAACTAATATGTTTAATTAGCATTTGATGGTGATATTTATCAAATACTTGAGAAATGGTAGGAAAAATGAAAGAACATAAAAAGGTAGTTCCTATTGGTAGAAAAAAACAAACTAATGAAAGTAGTTTTTAAAGATGAAGGAAATTTAAAATATTTGGATGAAGAAATTAAAAAACAAAAAATTTATGAGAATATTTTATTTCACTGAGAGATATTCAACTTGTGATACTACTTAATAATTAATGTCATTACTAATGTCTTTATATGGCTTTCATATTTTTATATTTCATTCATTAGCTTAGTCAATAGGGGTTTGTTGGTTGTTTATTTGTGCCAGGGACTGGAAGTGATAGGGCAGGGGTGTCAAACTCATTTTCACCAGGGGCCACATCAGCCTCATGGTTGCCTTCAAAGGGCCGAATGTAATTTTAGGGCCGTATAAATGTAACTACTCCTTAACAGTTAAGTGAGAGCTTGGCGCTGCTGCCAGGTAGGAACAAGGTGCCGGGCCAGATAAAACAAGGTGGAGTGCTGAATTTGGCACGTGGGCCTTGTGTTTGCCACCTGTGTGATAGGGGCACTCACTCGTCAAAGATTTTAGCTTTACTTATAGTTAATAGGCTTAAGTGATTAATGCATGTAGAAAGCTGTTGTTTCAGGAACTAGAATATGAGAACTCTGTGACTCCAGGAGGCCCACAAGCAAGTCAAACTTTGTGCCCCAGGGGGTCTGCAAGTCTGCAAGTGGTTGAGATGATATCTGAGCCATTATTTTCCAGGGAAATAAGTCAGTGACAAGATAAAGAACTATTGATCAGTAAATAAAGAAATACTAGGAAAATTCACCACTGCACTGAAACTCTTACCCGATTCACTTTTTCCCAAACCCCTTACCTACCCCTTTCTTCTCCTTATCAAAAGGTTGACTTGAGATGAGATGTTGAGATGGCTTAGGGTGCATAACCTGCCATCTTCTCAGATCACTGGCTTCTGAATAAAGTGCCCATAAAGATTCAATCCTTTTTTCTACTCATTGGTTCTGGTGATTCCAGGAGACATGAACACTGACTTTTTCAGTTTAAGAAGAGGGTAAACTTGTGGTGGGGAGATCATGTAGACTTGTGCTGTCCAATACATTTGTCACTAAACACATGTGGCTATTTACACCTCAACTAAAATTTTAGCTTTACAGTTGCACTAGCCACATTTTAAGGTCTTGATGGTGCATATACATTCCCATCATTGCTGAAAGTTCTATTGGACAGAATAGATTCAGAAGACTCCTGAGGTACATTATCTACAGTGGAGATGAGGAGGGTCTAAGCTGAGGCTGTGACAATGAGACAGAGAGGAGGGGTCTCTCTGAGGTATTTAATGTGATGCAGAGTGAAGATGGGGACTCATTTAGGATGTCTTCTAGGTTTCTCCCTATGGTAAACAGGTGGATGGTAGAATCATCAACCAAGTAAATATAGAAGAAGCAGGGTTTGGAGAGGGGATAAAATCAGATTTGCACCCAGTGAGTGAAAGGCAAGCCTGGGACAATGGTCTGAAAAGTTGCTGGATCTCAGAATATGATCTGTGGGGAATCTAGGTGGAGACAGAGTTCCAAGAAAGGGACAGTATCCTTGGGTAGGGGGTGGAGCCCTGTAGTTAAGCAAGGGCTAGAGAAAGCAGGCTGCAGAAGATTGCCAGAGGCTGGTGCCATGGCCTGGGAAGCACTGGCATTTAGGACAGGGTTTTCAAAGTGTTACTGAACAGCAAGTGGGGTCCAACTGCCACCCTCTAGACAAAATTCCAGAGGCCAGTGTTTGGTGATAAAGGAAAAGGAGTCTTTACTCAAAGGCTACAATTTTTTAATAACAGCTTTCCAAAAGAATTAGTCACTTAAACCAATCAAGGCTAAAATCTTTAACTCTTTAGTTACAGCTTTAATCGCTTAATCCCTTCAACTAAGGTGAAACTTTTTAACACCTGAGTTCTCCTATCATTTCCCCCTGTTGTTTTTTAATTATCTTATTTCTGCAGGGTTAGTTTACAAGCTAAAATGATATAAGATACAAAAGCTACACAATTTTGGAAAAAAGGCAGGCTTTGGCCTCAGAGTTCATCCCCTCTAGAACACTCAAAGAATAATAATAACCCTGCCACCCTATGCCAGGCTGGCTAGATCCAAGGTTGTGCCCGGAGTTCCTTCCCATCCAAAATACTGCCTGTTGGGAAATGCAGGCAGCCGCAACATGATCATCCAGGCATCCTCAAGAAAAGAGAGCCTGAGAGAACCAGCTCCTTCAAGAGTCCGAGAGTCCTTCTTTTACTTCAAATTTTCTCACCCATAATTCCATGTGCTCTGGAGGCATTCAACTTCTCAACCAATCCTATCCTAGACTGTTTATCATTGCCTCACCTTTTCCTATAGCCCTTCCCTACTCTTCCCCAGTGATCTGATCGAATCTCTCTATATCAAAACTGTGAGTGGGTCAAGAAATCAACAGACTAGATCTCCAGCAGCATTAAAAATGTAGTATAGAAAAGATTACCTGGCTGGCGTAGCTCAGTGAATTGAGTGCGGGCTGGGAACCAAAGTGTCCCAGGTTCGATTCCCAGCCAGGGTACATTCCTGGGTTGCAGGCCATAACCCCCAGCAACCGCACATTGATGTTTCTCTCTCTCTCTCTCTCTCCCTCCCTTCCCTCTCTAAAAATAATAAAATATTTTTTTAAAAAAAGAAAAGATTAATATGATTTGCATATAATATGAGTTAAGATATTTTCCTGAAACATTCATACATATATTTACAAACATACATGTATACTGGGTTGCAAGGTAAAACATATTTCTGGGTTGTGGTCGTTAGCCTGAATATCACTGATTTAAAAAATGAGCAGCACACACTATAAGCTACATGCAAACTGGGACAATGTCCTTTTTCTCATTACCCAAAATCTTGGCACATAGTAGTCTCTCAGTGAAGACATACTGCATGAAGGAATGAATCAATACCCCAGAGAAGTAAGAGAAAACCCAGAAAAAGGGTGACTTAGAAGCTAAAAATGGAGGAGAAAAAAGAAACAATCCATGGTCAGATGTCAGTGATTTGGCAACGTTCAGAGCACAGATGAGCTGTTTGTGCAACTGCAGTGGATTGGCACAAGCAGACGCCAGACTGCAGATGTAAATGGGAGGCAAGGAAGTAGAGATGAGACAAATGACAGTGGAGATTGGAAGAAATCTGTTTTGTACTGAAGATGTGAAAGTTCAGCAGGTGTCGGGAAGAGATTAATGGAAAGGCATGCTCTAAAACTGTGCTGTCAAATGATGGAATCACTAGCTACCTGTGGCTGTTTAAGATTAGAATCACATTAAAATGCAGTTCCTTAACAATACCAACTCCATCTCAAGTGCTCAATGGCTACACACTGCCAGTGACAACCATATTGCACAGACCTGACACCAAACATTTCCATCATTGCAGAAAGGTCCACTGGAGAATGAGGCCTAGAAAAGAGTTTTCTCATCATGTCTATGCAGGCCTCAAACAAGCAGTGCACAGCGGCCAACCTCCTCTTACTCAAAAGTTCCAAACCTAGACATAATGACAGGGCATTTGGTCTCCATGAGGGAGGGTCAACCCTGGGAGAGGCCAGTGCACACATCAAGGACGCTACTACTACCTCAGGACCTGATCAGAATGCAGTCATTACAGACTGCAATTTTTACAAAATTGAAGTGATTGCTAGAGAAGAAATAAAAAATGATTTGATTTATATATGTAACTCTCATGGTTTTTGTAGGGACCTAGATAATAAAAAGGAACGTGACAGACGACTGAAGCCTTTATTATGCACATCTGTCCACTTGAGATACAGTCCCTCTGACCCACTACGGTGAGCAACGTCACTCTTGGAATTTCAAAAATAAAGTTAATAATTTTTTGTGGGAAAATCTCTTTGCAGTCACTTTCACAGGAATATTTGGCTCTGCTTGTTAAAACATTTTTTTCACATCGAGACTAAGAAGTGAGGGAGGACGGAGGGGTCCTCAGTAACGCAGCCTTCTACACTCAGGGCGAGCCCTGGCATCATCTGAGGAATTCAGGCCTTTGGCAGAAACACCTGGTCCTCTCGGCCTCGCCTGGGAACACCTGCAGGTGGCGCCCAGGACGCTGTGCTCAAGTCCTTTTCCTGACTGACAGGTCTTGCTACAAGCTCCTTCTGGTGGCGGGCTTTTGAGCGCCCAGAGCGCCGAGTCCACGCGGACAGATATTTGGTTAGGGCTCGTGGGTAGCAGCGACCCCAGCGACGCGACGTTCCGGGGGAACAGGGACAGGGTTCGGGGCAGGGCCACTAGCCCTCAACGGCGAGATTTAACCTTTGAAACCATTCGTCAGACAGTGGTGTGTTAAGACACCCTGACTTCACTGTAGTGATGACAAACACTTGTGGAGAACAATACTCAATCCCAAGAGCAGCGCCCGCTAGTCCAAGCACTCGAGTGACAATAGTCCACCAGCCCAGTTCGGGGCCGCTTTAGATATCACGGGCGAGGCCGGAAGTTACTTCCTGCTCCCAGAGCCCCAGGGCCGTAAAGCAAGATGGCAACACTCTCTCAGCCGTTGTTCAGCTTCTGTCCTATTTTTAGCACTTCTGTACCCACCAGGCTCTCTATGTTTCCATACCGCTCCCTGGATTTCTTAGAACAGCTCACTCATATTTTAACCTCACTTAGCTGTAGTGGAGTACAGGCTGCAGACAACGTAAGGTGACCTGAGGCCTGTCGGGCGCCATTTTGTGCGGAAACTGCAGGCTGGGCGGGGCGAGCGTCGGGGAATCCAAGAGAAGCCGGCTCGCAGGAAGGCGTGGGGGTGGCGGAGGGCGTCGTTACTACGCTGTGTATTTCCGCTTCCTTTTGGTTCTGTCCTATTTGGTTGGACAGGGTTGTTGCGGAGGACGGGGAAGGGTTGTGTGGAACTCCTTGCACGGTAAGGTAAACTGAGGCGAGGCTGGGAGTGGGGATCTCTGCGCCTGGCTGTACTGGAGATCTGGAGACAGCATCTCTGCACTCGAGGAGTGTAGGGCTGGAGACAAGAAGCTCGGAGATTTCTCAAGTTGACGAGATTAGGAGGTGGGGCGGGGCTGGTGAATGCGAGGTGAGTCGTGGGTGCTGGAGAGTGAGCCCGGGGCCCGCTGGGGGGCGGGCGGGAGCGGCTGGGACGCGGAGTAGAACCTCAGGTCCTCAAGGACTGAGAAGTTAAGGTGGGCGTCAGTCGTACTACGGGGGTGTGGGAGGACGAGAGTGGGTCCTTAGTGCCCAACGTTCTGAGGTTGAGCATAGCCTCGGCCTTTGTTTCCCTTGCAGTTCCCCAGACACCTATCCGCGGCCTCTGCTCGGGCCGAGCACTCTCTCACACTTGCCACCTGTGCCCCGAGGCGCCTGCCTCCATCCTCCCGAATGGTGCGCCTCCTCGCAGGCCTTGGCCCAGGATCCAGGCCTCTGCCCGTTGCCTCGGAGCAGCAGCTCCCCGTGGCTGGGAGGAAAGAACTTTTGCACAGACTAGGCTATAGCTCTAAGCACCCTGCTGACGACTGGAATCTCCGCCTCTAACTCAGTGCGAGTTCTTCCTGTGCCCCCTTTACCAGTCTTTGAGAAGAGAAACCTTTCTTGCCACACAGAGCCCGGGAAACCCCAAGCTGGGGCCCTGGCCCCAGCATGTCAGTCCTCTTTTGTGCATAGGGCTGTGCCCTCTCCCCGTCAGCATGGCTGAGCTCAGGCAGGTTCCAGGGGGCCGGGAGACCCCTCAGGGGGAGTTGCGGCCAGAGGTTGTGGAGGATGAAATCCCTCGGAGCCCAGTCACGGAGGAGCCCCGAGGAGATGGAAGCAACAGCAGTGAGTCCAAATTGTCCCGCGGGGAGGAGGAAGAGCTGGATCCTCGAATACAGGTGAGACTGATGGGGGGGTGGAGAAGGGTGCCACCTTTCCTGGAGAGCTGGCCGACGAGTGCACTGGGGCAGGAAAGGGAAACAGTCTTGTCAACAAATCATGGCAATACAGTGTGACAAGTAGTAAAAGATTAGTCTGTGATGGGAGTGCCAAGAAATGCCGACCCAAGTGCCTGATGTGGTTGCTGAAGCCTCACTGGAGGAAGGGAAGGGACAAATTGGTGGCAGATACAGGAGGCACGCTTTAGGTCAATGCAGAGGAGAACTGTTGTTTCCAAATAAGCAGAGGGCCTGTCAGCTCAGATGTGGTGTGACTGGGATGTCAGAAGAGGTGACTTTGAGGTTGGGAAAGGATCTCACCTTATCAGTGTCTCCCAGGGGTGTTCATATCTGTAAAGGGTGAAACCTTTCAGAGGTGGCATGAGGTTTAGGCCTGTGAAGAAATCCGATGTGTATCAGCTGCAGTCAGTCCTCAGTGACACATATGCTCAGCTTTAAGGATGCTGCTGCTGTCATCCAGTGCCTTGGAGCACTTACAGGCTGTTTGGTTGGTTGGTAGTGGGTAAGGGTCAGATCTTTGGGAAGGAAACCTGGAGTAATGGACGAGGGTAGAGGAGGGTGGGCACCAGATGGAGGAGATGCTTGGCCAGCGGAGGCTGGATTGCGGTGATTCCAGGCAGTGGCTGGGAAGGACTAGCCTGGGAAGCTGGGCAGGTGAAGGCCAGCATGTTTCTGTGTTTGGGGCTGACTCTGCCCTTTACTTCATAGCATCTTCAAAATTTCTGATGTGCTGGTGACACACCTGTAGGTGAGCAACACATTTGGAGGCTTGCTTTCTTAGGCTTCCTTGTCCAAAAACCTTTAGTAGGTTACTTTTGTGTATTCAGAAAAAAAATCAGAGCTGGTCCTACAATCCTTCCTTCCATCTTGGTGGGGTTCCTGCAATGTATGTGATAAGTGTGCCCCTGCTCACAGAGGAGCAGCAGTGAGGTGGTGACATGCCTGCTGTGTCCCACAGGTATTGCATTGAAATCAGCTCAGTTTCTCCTGCTCGTTCTACAGATTGTCCTCCACTGAGGAAACAAGTTGTAGTGAAAAAAGTCTTCGACTGAGATTTAAGCAACCTCCTGCCTGATGATTTGTGATTTTCATGCAAGTTACATAACCTCTGTGAGCCTCAGTTTCTTTATCTGTGAAGTAACGCGTGTTCTCACTGATTTGCATGACTCCTTCCTGCCCTGCTCTGACAGTCCTGTGAATCTTTTGTTTAATAAATTCTTTAGTTTGTCTCTTGGTGACAGTTTGCAGGTAGTGCTTTGGGAAAGAGACCCCTGTATGCATTGGGGAGGAGGGCCATGTGATGTGCTGTATGCTCCCTGCAGCGTTCCTGGCACTGCTCCCAAGGAGAATCCAGCAGCTTCTTCCCTCAGTCCTTCCTGCTCCTGTAATGCCCAGTGAGCACAGAGTCACTCTGATGCTTTACTCTTCAGTCTCATAGCCACTAGCAGCAAGTGGTTACTTAAATAAAGTCAATTAAAATGAAATAAAAATTAAAGATGCTGTTCCCCCGATGCTGTTGGCAATGTAGAATTAGGACATTCTGTCATGGGCAGTTCCATTGGATGAGCTTTGTGAAGTTTGTGGTACACTGGGCATACTGATATCCTCAAGCCTTCAGTGAGCACACTGTGACTTGCCAAAGTGGGGGCATGTTGTAGGGTATATAGGAAGGAAGGGTGTCCTTGCACAGGCCTTCCTCATTGGTGCCCTCAGCCCAGTCAGTATTCTGGCCTCAGTGAGAATTCAGCCCTTGTTGCCATGTGGGAGAGGCAGGCTGCTGTGAGGGCACCCTTCATGGAGTAGGCAGCTGGCATTCAACCCTTCTGGAGTTGGGCTCTTCTGGATATAGATGACAGTGGAGCATGTGTCTTTGCATGTTCCTTTTCTGCTGACAGTGCACAGACTGTGTTCTCCTGATAATGTGTTTTAGTGCTGTAAGTGGATTCTTAGTGCATTCAGTGGGTCTTTACCCACAGATCCATCAAAACCCACCAGGGAGCTCTAGGAGCACCCGTCTGAGACCGGATGTGTGCATTCTCTTGGCCTGGGTGGGTGCAAAGTGATTCTAACAGGAGGCCATTGGGCCAGGAGTGTCTGAAGACAAATCCTATTCAGATGTTTTCTGAAACTTCAGGTGAGGCTCTTTCTGATGTGGGGACTAGGGTTTCTTGAATGGCAGGCAGCCCTCCCATGGCCCGATTGTCTGGTGGGATCCCCTGGAAGTCAAGGGAAGCCAGCTGGAATCCACTGGCCCTATCCTCCCTATATCTTGACCTCAGCCTAGTTCTCTGAGGCCTCCAATTTGGTCCTGTGCTCTGTGAGACAAGGATGATTCCAGGGGAGGAGGGTGGTGCTGGGTGGGCCTCAATCTCCTCCTCAGCAACTTTCTCAGCCTCTTTGTGATGGGTACATTCGTTCCTGTGGTGACTAAGTACATTCACTCAGATGCTGCTTCCCAGACTATTAATGGTGACTTTGCAGCCTCTGCTTCTTCATCTGAAATGTTGATTTGGCTCACAGACAGCTTTATTTCTCTTATTTCCGAGATACGGGCCAAGTGTCACCCTGGCCCCACCCTCTTACCATGGCTTAGTGTGTTAATGGCAGCACAGGCATGTTGGCAACCTGAATAGCCTGGCATCCTGGAAATGCACCGTGTGCCCAGGAAGGTCACCCTTCCTGCTGACTACAGGCTCACTGATGGGCAATATTTGATGACTCAGACCTCATTTTCCTGGAGTTCTGTGTCAGCAGCTATCAGGAGTCCCCAGCAGGGCAGGCCATACGGAATGGGTTACCAGCTGCCCAAATGGCCCAGCCTGGCTGCCTCCACCACGTTGTAGCCCTTTGGAAAGAGCTTTGTGACTGATCGAGGGGCAGTCCTCATTTAACATAGGACTTTTAATTTCTGGAGCTGCTGTGCTGGTGCGAATTCCTGCCCTTCACCACTAGCTAAAGCCTTGTATATCCTTCCTCCATCTTCAGTGGGGATGGCTTCCATAGAGCCATCCACTCTGATGATTTTGTCAGGGTCTGGGAGCACATTGGGCCAGGGAACTGAGTGAGAGTTAGTCTGGACCTTGGTCTGCCTATGGGAACAGTGCAGAGTGGCCAGCACCCCTCTTTATTTTCCCCCAGAATCAATGTTTGTTGTTCTCCTGAGGCTTGTCCTTTCCTGTCGGCCATGGCTTTCTGAGGTGATGATGTTCCTGTTTTCTCTGAGGTATCCATCCAGGAACGTCCTTAGTGCTAGGAGAGTGGTCACGGTAGCAGGAAAGCCTGATCAAAGGGTAGGTCTAGGATCCAGCCCCAGCTCTGTCACTGATGGCTGGATGCTCACCTCATTGTTTCTTGTCTGTCAAGAGAATGAGCTGAGAAAGGGAGGATGCTGGCGGGGCTGCCGGGAGGGTGGCATCTCTTGTCCGGAGTCTGAAAATGCTGTGAGCTGGGCCCAGGGGGAGAGGAGGTCTCTCACCCTACTAGGAATTGCTTTCTCTGAGGGCCCACTGGGGTACCTCCATCAGTGCCGGGTGGTGTCTTTATAGGGAAGACAGTGAAACTGGGAGCTGTGTGGTGGCTAGGTGTTCCCTCGGCTCCAGACTGCCATGTTTTCTTATGGACACTGGATTGTAGGACTGACCAGGTGGCCAAGCACATGCTTTCTAGACCAGAACTGCCTAGTATGGAAGCCAAGTGCCACTGGCCAGGCTGAGATATGCCCTGAAGTTCAAAATGCATGTGAATATTTCAAAGGCATAGTCTAAAAATGAATGTAAAAATATGTTAATAATTTATGTTGGCAATATATTGAAATCACAATTTCTTGGACATATATGGTTAAATGAAAAATATTACAGTTTCATCTGTTTGGTTTTTCTTTTTTCTTTTTTTAACGTGGCTATTAGAAAACTAAAAAGTGAACATGAGGCTGCCATTGTATTTTTGTTGGGCAGCTCTGTTCTGTCCAGTGTGAAACGCTCTTAGAGGCAGGTCAGAGTGCTTTCATATCTTTGTTTTTGGTTCATTTGAGTGTCTTCCTTTGTGTTCTTCCTTGACTGTAATTAGGACATGTGACTTGATTTCCTAGATTCTTACTTATAGACTCAAATCTCAGAGTTTGAGGAGGGGTATAGAAATAAAAAGACTGCCCTGGCTGGTGTAGCTCAGTGGATTGAGCACGGGCTGCGAACCACAGTGTCCTGGGTTTGATTCCCAGACACAGTACATGCCTGGGTTGCAGGCCATAACCCCCAGCAACTGCACATTGATGTTTCTCTCTCTCTCTCTATCTCTCTCTCTTCCCTCTCTAAAAATAAAAATGAATAAAATCTTAAAAAAAAAAAAGACTAAGGGGATCATACACTGGGTTGCTGAAAGAGCCGGTGGTGGCAATGTGACTCCTGGCCAAATGCAGGCCATGGCTGGGCATGGGCAGCAGGCAGACACAGGTGAGTCCGGCTGGCTGCTGCAGGGACTCCCTTAGCTGAGCACCAGACATCTTCTGGGGCAGTGCTCCTCCTCAGAAATGTCCGTGGCATGTTGGGCTCTAGGAAACTGGCTAAGAAAGGTTGGGGTGGAAACTTGAGTCCAACACTTCCGCCTGCTCTGTTCCAGGCTTCCTGGGTCCATTGTGTCTGGTGACTTCTCCCTGAGGCTCTTCCTTTCTCCCCCAGGATCTACTGGATAGGAACCTGGGATTATTGTCACCCTACTCCTGAGCAGGTCTCAAGGCCTCTTGAACCACACATTCTTCCCTAATCTGACCTCAGTTGTCCATCAGGCCCTTATGATTCTGCATCTTGCATTTCCCTAGACCTGTCCTTTCTTCCCCCAGCTGGAGTACTGCAGACAGCTGCCACCATTGTCTCCCCAGGCTCTCTACTCATTTCTCACATGCTCAGATAGGCCAGGTCACACCAGGCTCTGAGAGGTGCCCCTCCCCTGTGCCCCAGCCTCGCTGGCTTCTCTCACCTGAGCACCTGTCTCCTGGTGCCTGCCTGTCACTGGTATTTTCTGTACATCCATCAAGGTCCAGTCTGGGGGCAAGTGCTCTGGGTGTTCTGCCCTGGCATTGTGCTGCCCCGGTAGGTAACTCTGCTGCCCCCACCACCTAACAGGCCCACCCCCTCCCATGGCTCCTCATGCCATGAGGGTTTCTTGCTTACTTGCTGGGTCATGAGCTGTCACCTGAGTCCTGAATTCTCAAATCTTATGTGCTGAGCTGTGTAAGTGTACAGTAAATGCGTGTTGAGCAAGTGGCTCAGGGAAGAGAGTGTGAACACTGAGGAGACTCCTGACTGGAGGCCGAGGAGGAGGTGGTATGGTCTCAGGGAGAGCTAACAGGCTGCCACCAGGTCACTGTGTGCATGAGTGTTCCATTCTCCAAACCTTGACTTCCTCACCTTTAAAGTGGGGGGATTTACTCCGTGACACAGGTAACTTGTGAGATGACTGGAGACTGTGTGTTAGTGTCTGACATGGAGGAGCAATGCCCTTCTGCATTCTACCTTTCCTTACTTGGGTGGACTCTCCCTCTGTGCACGGTCCCCCCCCCCCCCCCCCCCCCGGCGCCCACCTGGCCCACTGGAGTCTCTAACTCTGCCCCTGTCTGTGGCAGGAAGAGCTGGAGCACCTGAACCAGGCCAGCGAGGAGATCAACCAGGTGGAGCTGCAGCTGGACGTGAGTGTTCTGCCCCAGGTTTCTTCATGTGTCTCCCTCCCTTTTCAGCACAGTGGCAGGAAAAAGGGAGATATGGGAAATGAGGGATTGGAATCTGCACACAATGTGTCCTCTGCCTACACATTTGTCCCTTTGCCAGGAGGCCAGGACCACCTATCGGAGGATCCTTCAGGAGTCAGCGAGGAAGCTCAACACTCAGGGCTCCCACTTGGGGAGCTGCATCGAGAAGGCTCGACCCTATTATGAGGCTCGGCGGCTGGCTAAGGAGGTATAGACCCCTGACCCTTGCTTTGGAAGTGCTGTGTGCTGAACCTAGGCAAGGATTCCTCCTCTGTACGGAGGGGGAGACAGATCACCTTTTCTCTTTGCTTTTCTCTTACTTCTCTTCCCTTTGGTTCATGTCTCTTTTTTCTTATCCTCCACTTCTTTACCCTTCTTCCTTCCTTTTCTTTACACAAATAATGTGGATTCACCATTAGAAGCCTATAATAGTAAAACAAGAGAAAGAGAAGAAAACAAAAATTACCCCAGATTCTACTGTGTACATGTTTCATGATTTTTGTACCTGGGATTTGTTTTGGTCATGTATGGTGAGATGACAGAGACAATGGCAGTTCCCAGAGCTGGGGTCCTGCAACATCACTCATGGCCTCATGAAGAAACACCTGGGTTGGTCAGGAGTCTGAAGGCACAAATAGAAAGCTTGGCCCAGGCCCTTTTTTGTGATTTTCGTGGGAAGAAATGGGTGAGGCAGGGTAGGCCACCCTGGCCAGACTTAGGGTGGGATGGTTTGAGTCATGGGCTGGTCTGTGAGTTGTGGGAATGGGTCCCAGCTGTCTTATACATGGCTCTGGGTGATATAGGACAGAGGCAATATTGGCTGGTGTATGAGAATCAGATACAGGAAGTGGTGGGTGTTGGGTTGGCTGGTTTGAGTGTGAAAGGTGTGCTCACAGGGGAGTTTATCTTAGGAATTAGTTAGCACTGGGAAGGCCAGCAAGGCCCCTGCCATGTCAAAGCATTATAAAATACAGAAAATATAAAACATGATTAATACAGTACAGATAACCCATTGAAATTTTTGTATAAATCATGTCAAAGTGGTATTACACAATATATGCTACATTTTTAAATTTATTATTAATTATTACTATTTTAATCTACACCTGAGGACATGCTTATTTATTTTAGAGAGAGAAGGAGGGAGACAAAGGGGGAGAGAAACATCTTTTAGTTGCCTGTCACATGTGCCCCAACTAAGGACCAAACCTGCAACCTAGCCGTATACCCTGACCAGGGATCAAACCCCTGTTCAACCTTTCAGTTTATGGAACAGTCCTCTAACCAGCTGAGCCACCCGGCCAGGGCTGTATGCTGGTTTGTTTTTTTATATATATATTTTTTTTTTTTTCTTTAAAATTTTCTTATTTTTTGACAAGAGCAGAAGGGAGAGAGAAAGAGAGGGAGGGAAGCATCAATGTGTGGTTGCCTCTCATGCTCTCCCTACTGGGGACCTGGCCTGCAACCCAGGCATGTGCCCTGACTGGGAATTGAACCAGTGACCCCTTGGTTCGCAGATTGGTGCTTAATCCACTGAGCCACACCAGCAACGGTTAAATGCTGTTTTTGTTTTCTCTTTTACTTATGACATAGTTCCATGTCAATAAATATTCATTCATTCATGCCATTTTAAGGGCTACTGAATATTTCCTTTCATGAGATGTACTATATTTATATAACCAGTTCCTTGGAACTGGACTTAGGTTTGTTTCCAGTGTTTTGTTTGGTAAGCAAAGCTGGGATGACTGTCTCTGAGCACTTGTCTGATTATTTCCCTCACCTTCCCAGCTGTACTGAACTCAATGGTCTTAGGCATACCTTCTTTCTGTGAGACTTGGTCCACATTGCTAATCCCTTTGCAGCTAACATGGGGTGAATATCTTTTGTTCTCCATCCAGCGGAAGGCCAGCAGCCTCTGAGACTGCTGGGTCTCACATGCTCATGCTCCACTGGCAGCATCATGCTTTCCCATCTTCTCTCAGGCCACACCCTTACAACATATTCTTTTTAGAATGTTGCTTCCTTGGTTGACATTTATCCTCATCGTAGTATAAAAAGTGAAGCCGACATTGCAGTGGGCCTTCCTCCTCTTGTCCTCACCCAGGATAGGTCTCCATGGTCCACAAGGAGGCCCTCCAGGATGCCCTATTCTGACAACCCTCTCCCCTCAGGCCCAGCAGGAGACACAGAAGGCAGCCTTGCGGTACGAGCGGGCTGTGAGCATGCACAATGCTGCCCGGGAGATGGTGTTTGTGGCAGAGCAGGGAGTCATGGCTGACAAGAACCGACTGGACCCTACGTGGCAGGAGATGCTCAACCACGCCACCTGCAAGGTGAGCCAGGCTGTTGCAGCAGGTTGCTTCTTCTGCTGTCTCTTCATCTCATCACCTGCTCTACTCCTTTCTCTCTATTTTCCACTCTAGCCTTTCCTTAGCTTTAACTCTGATTCTGGAAAATCTGTTCCTTGCTCTGTCCTGCTTGGCTTTCAGTGCTTTTCATGTACATCTGCTCTGGACTCAGACTCTCTGGCTCCTTCTGAACATTTCCCTCCAGGTTTGGGACTAACCCAAACAGTCTCACCCTGCTGGATGCTCTGCAGTCAGCATGCACATTTTATTATGTTTTGCTGTGATATGTCCTTCTGTTTTGCTATGGTATGTCCTTCAGTTTTCAGAATATTCTCCCTTTCTTGCTTTTAAGCTCTGCCGCTGTAATTTGATATTTGAAGTGTAATTTCCAAGTTACTTGAGGTAGCTGGGGAGCAGGAGGATTCCTGGCATCAGCTTCAGTCTGCCACTTTCACTGTGTAAAGAGCAAGTGTCTCAGTGCATTCAGGCTAAGAAAACAAAATAATATACAGCAAATGTCTTAAACGTTTTCTTTAAACAGCAAATGTTTATTTCTCATTGCTCTGGAGCCTGGGGAGTCCAACATCAGGAGACAGGCAAATTTGATGCCTGGTGAGGGTCCCCTTCCTGGTTTCTAGACAGCTGGCCATCTTTTCATTGTATCCTCACGTGGCAGAAGGGGTGAGGGAGCTTTCCAGAGCCCTTTTATCAGGGCACTAGTCCCACCCATGAGCTAGTCACCTCTGCCTACAACAACGTCAACGTGGCAGTTAGGATTTCAACATGTGAGCTTTGAGGGGGACACATTTAGTCTAGAGAGTAAGTGTGAGCTCCTGAGGGGTGGTTGTGCCCCAGGTTCTCTTAGACTCCTTAGTCCAGGCCCCCACACTGCACAGAACAGGAGCTCACATAGAGGAGTGCAGCACTGGGGAGGCCTTTGGGCTGTGAGTGGCAGGGCTTCACAGGACTCCAGTGTGTGTCTGCCCAGTGTGTGGCAGGGTTGGCCCCCTGATCCTGGTGGACAAGGTGACAGGAACCCTTACCTGCTCCCTGTTGGGTCATGAAACCCCAGAGAACCCAGTGTGGAACTGTGGATCCCCTCACTGGGGCTCCTCTGGTTCCCCCAGCTCCCACCCCTGGTACTGAGGGCTCCCTGAGGATGATGATTATGGGAGATGTTCCCAGACAGACATTCCCAACAGGCTCACAAGTTGTCCAGAGGGCCCAGCACCCTCCTGGCAGCAGGAAAACTGAGCAGCAGTAGTGCAGGTAACAATAGCAGGTGCAAGGACCCACTGTTCTGTGGGTTTTGGGATCCATGCCCTTTCAAGCTCTGCAGACAGCGGGGGTTTCCCCCACGGTAACATTTGGAGTGGCAGCCTAGGGGCCGATGACAGGGGCAGGAGCATGTCCCCCAGCTCAGTGACGTTTGTCATCTGCCCTGCCTGGGCCAGGTGAACGAGGCGGAGGAGGAACGGCTTCGTGGCGAGCGGGAGCACCAGCGGGTGACACGGCTGTGCCAGCAGGCTGAGGCTCGGGTGCAAGCCCTGCAGAAGACCCTCCGGCGGGCCATTGGCAAGAGCCGCCCCTACTTTGAGCTCAAGGCCCAGTTCAGCCAGATCCTGGAGGTAGCTGTGGGGAGGGAGGGACAGGCAGGAGGATGCAGACATAGAAAGTGAGGGCAGCAGGGCAGTGTGTGGCCTCTGCACCATTGCCAGGCCAGCTAGATGGGACAGATGGCGGCTGGGGAGTCTGTTGGGGAGTAGGGATTGGGGTTGGGGGCAGATGCTGGTTGAGAATGGAGTTGTAGGGAGGTAAGGGAGAAAAAGTGAGAATTGGGAAATCAGGAAGGATGAAGAAGAGGAGCTGGCTAGATAGAGAAAGAAAGACCACGGGAAGAGAAGAGTGATGGGTGGAGATGAAGACCTGGGAGGGAGATACCGTTGGGCTTAAGTCCAGAGCAGGGCCTGGTTTGGGTGGGTGTAGGGGAAGGAAGAAGAGAAGATAGGGCGGAGCTGCCCAGTGGGGCTGAGAGAACTGGCAGCTCCCATCTGTGGAGCATTGCCTACTGAGTTATGTCACTTGGCTACTCCTTCCCTTCCTCCTTAGGAGCACAAGGCTAAGGTGACAGAGCTGGAGCAGCAGGTTGCTCAGGCCAAGACCCGCTACTCTGTGGCCCTGCGCAATCTGGAGCAGATCAGTGAGCAGATTCATGCACGACGCAGGGGCCTGCCCCCACACCCCTTGGGCCCCCGGCGGTCTTCCCCTGTGGGCGCTGAGGCTAGGCCAGAGGAGGATGGAGACAGCGGGATCATTGAGGGGGCTGAGGGTGGAGCCCCAGAAGAGGGTTGCAGCCTGGGGCCTGCTCCTGCCGGGGATTCGGACACTCTGAGCCTGCTGAGTCTGCGCACAGTGGCTTCGGACCTGCAGAAGTGTGACTCCGTGGAACACCTGCGGGGCCTCTCGGACCATGCAAGTCTAGACGGCCAGGGGCTGGGTCCCCAGAGTGGGGGCCGAGGGGGCCGCCATCAGCGTAGCATCAGTCTGTAGCCCATACTCAGGGTGGTTGTGTGTCTCTTACCACTGCTGGCCCGTGCAGGGCCACGTGGGCTCCCAACTCCTCTGCTGGGGGCCTTGCTTCCCCTGGAGAGGCTGGGTTGGCTGCGACTGAGTCCTCTTGTCATTTGTGCCCTCCCCCCAGGTGTTGCCTTACTCTTCAGAAGGCTTATCTCCGGTCCTCACAGTCTGTCCATGCCCTTTGCTGGCCTCTTTCTGACTTCTCTTCTCCTGCCTGGCTTTTCCCCTCAGGTAATTTGGTCTGGGAGGCACAGGGAAGCCCATCACAAAAGATGGGACCTGAATCCAGTGTCTCAGGCCCCCCAGCTTGAGTGGATGAACACGAGTTCCTTCTATCTCCCCTGTCTCTCAAAGGGCCCTAGGGATGTGGCAGGGCCTTCTTGGCAGCCCTGCCCCCATGCTCTGTCTCAGTCAGCCTGTGTGTAATCTGTAAGATGCATTGTGGGGCTCTGTGCCTTTGGAAGACACAACCTCTGTCCCTTCAGCGCTCCATTCTCATGACCTAATCCACTTTGCTCTAGGTGCCCCAGAGCAAGACTTGAAGGGTGCTGCTGGCAGGAAAGGTGAAACCCAGCCCCAGTGTCAACATGGGACCATGGGCTCCCATGTGCTTTGCTTTCCCAGCAGGGCTGGGCCCTCAACATTGCCAAGGTGCTAGTGGGTCTCTGCTAGGGTCCCTGTTGGGAGTAGAGAGGTAATGAGGTCCTGGTGTGGAGTGAGGTTTAAAGGATGCTGAGCTGGATCTTGGCCTCCTGCAGGATGGAGTTAGGAATTTGGTGCTCTTCCACCAACTAAATGATATCTACTTGAAGATCCCTGCGGAATGCCCAAGAGTGGGTGCCCCTGGTGTTGAGAGAGGACTCACCCTCTTCAGGGAACAGCTCCAGGTGTCTGGTAGTGTTGCCAGCCTGTGTGTAGGGGCAGAGTGGGGAAGCCCCACTGAGTCTGGGAGCCTTGGGGGGGCTGGTGGTTCCTGCCCCAGCCTAGGAGGGCTGGGCTGGGCTGGCATGCTGCTGTCAGCAGAGCAGTTGGCCTGCACATGGACGCTGTTTCCCTGTTCTAGGGTCCAGGCAGGATGGTCACAATGAGAACCTCTGGGTTTGAGGTGGTCATGGCTGTGTATGTGTGTCCATGTGCCAGTATTGGGGGAAGTGTCATCCCTAATTTTATATAAATAAAATAGTTTATGTAATGGTAATGTTTACCTCTCCTACCCCACAAAGGAGCATAGGGAAAGGGGAATAGCAGGGTGATGGGGGTCTCTGTCGGTGGAGTGGTCAGGGAAGGTCCTGGGGTGGTAGAGAAGAGTTGAATCTGTGATCTAGCCAGGCCAAGGGGGGAAGAGAAGGCTTCTGGCTCATGGCTGGGGTGAGCCCACAGGGGAGGCTCCCCACCCTGCCTGTTGGGTGGGGACAGGTGTGTAGGGTGGAGTGGTGTGGACTCACTGGTTGTTTATTGTCCATGTGAGTGCCACTCCTGGATGTGAGTGAGCATGAAGGGTTACAGGATTTAGTAAGTACACAGGTTGTCTGGCTAGCTTTGAATTTCATATAGTGAATGATTTTTTGTCCCCTGAACTGTTAGGTCATACTTAGTTATTTCTGTTCTATCTGATACCACATTCTAACACATAAAAGGCAACTCCCAAGTGAGGGCTTGCTCTGTTGTGGGGCAAGGAGGGTTTGAGTGCCTTTGGACCCCAGCCTGTGAAACATCCAGTGGCATCAGGTGGAGAAGGGCCAAGAACTTCAGGAGCATGAGGTACACGAAGGCTTCTGGCTGAGCCCCATCAGGGTTGCACCTGCCTATTCAGGCAGCCGAGGATTGGAGTTAGCCAAAGAAATGGAGAAGGTGCTGTTGGGAGAGCAGGAGACCACTGGAAACCTGCTGTGAAATGAGGCCTGAAGACCCTGTAGGGGCTGGCAAAGGCAAGGAGCTAGAGGGACAAGAGAGCAGAGCAGCAACTGGTGACCCCAGATGGGACATTAGCAGCCACTGTGTATGGAACGTACACTGTACCCTTTGACAGATACTGCCCAGGTGTGAGGCTGCCTTTACTCAGAAGTAAGGGAAGTGTGGTAAGGCAGATGGGTGCCACAGTGTTCCATTTACCCCTGAAAAGTGCTATGAATGCATGGCCTGTGTCCTTGGGCAGGTGACCTTTTTGAGATGACTCCCAGGTCATCCTTTTCTCTCTGGTCCCTGGCAGTGCAGACCTGTAAGGCTCCTGGTGTGAAGGGACCCAGAAAAGAAGGGCTGGCTGTGGAGGCCCGTTTCTTGCAAAATCACCTGCCACATAAGACCAGTGGGGAGAGACCAGGAAAGTTAAAGCTGATGATGCTTCCTCTAAGTGGAATAAAATGGCCACAGTGTAAGCACCTCCAGTTGGATCCCTACAGCAGTGGCCAGCACCAGCCCAGGGCGTATCCCATGCAAGGTATGTACATCGACTCATTGCACCCCCACTGTGGGGCGGGTGGCACCACAGCTGCCTTTGTCAGATGAGAAACAGGCACAGTGGGAGTACCCCGTCTGCCCCAACTTTGTAGAAGGAGATGGAGGCAGTTGGGTTCTTAAGAATCCAAATTAGAACCCTTGAGTTAAGGACCTCACAGGACCCAGAGGTGACACAGCAGAGGCAGTGGGTGGAGTCATCTCTTAGGAAGTTCTGCTGGGAATCCTGGAATGGTCAAGGAATTTTGTTAAAGAGAGTGAAGCAGTCAGGTTGTGGGGGACATGGAGCCTTGTGTCCCCCATTCCTGTACCATATCCCATGTCACAGGGAGTGGTAACAGTGCTTCTGAAACATGTCCTCAAGTGAGCAGCTGGGCCTCAGTCTCCCCACCGCCCAGCAGTACACACCTGGTACCTAATAGATGCTCAGTGACCATGCTTTTGTGCCCCCCACATGCTCCCAGTCTGATGTACACCAGGTTACCTGCAGTTAGGTGGGGGTTCTCCAGTGTCTCTCTGCTTAAGGGTCATCACTTATACAATAAGAAGGTCCAGGTGTGTCAGCCTGATACAGGCCAGTGAGTGCCAGCCACTCCATGTCAACAGTAAACCTGTGCCAGGGACCTGGTTCCACTGTGTGCTGGACAAGGAGACTTTTTATAAAGCCTCACCTCCAGGTTGGTCTCCTTTCAAGACATGATTGGAAAGGGTGGGCTCCTGGCATGTCACACCCCACGCTGTCTGCAGGGGGTGGCAGCTGTGGCAGCAGTGATGGCGGCAGCGGCAGCGTGTGTCTGGATCTGTCCTGTAAGGTTCCTTCCGAGAAGTGCTGGGCACCTGGTGGGCAAGCACTGGGCAACCCACTATTTGAGCCCATCTGGCCCCACTTGCCTCTTGCAGTTCTGCCTGTCCTTATTGTGCACAGGGTAAAAGTGAGCTGGGCCAGTTGTACAGGGCGGTGTCATTTGGGACCAGGTGTTCTGTGCCTCTTGCCCCGATCCTCTTCCTCAGACCACCTTTCTCATCCTCCTTAGGGTCCTGTCCTTGCCCCTTTCTCAGCCTCCCTCCACATTGGCCTCCTGGGCAATCATTCTCCACCTGGCCCCGTTACTGAACTGCTGGCCTCCACGCTGCTCCCTCCCAGAACTGTCAGAACCAGGGATCATTTCACTGGCTGGCAAATGGATGAGTGCAGTTTATCAGATACTTAACCTGGATCCTTCTTAATACAAAACACTGGTATGGCTTGTTAAGGACACCAGAAAGTGTGTGGGTTGTCCAGGTAAGGGGTGAGGGACACAGATGCATGTAGGTAGCAGGTACGTGCAGGACAATATAGATTGACTAGAGAGGGCTGTAGTGAAGGAGGGCTTTGGTAGGCTCAGAAAGAATGGAGGGCTTTGAGCAGGGCGCTCACTATTTTGAGGCTTTGACCCAGCCACTGGGTGCAGGCTGGACAGGTGCTGGCAGGAGGTCCCTTTCTCCCAAGTCTTCCTGACTCTAGGTCTCGCTCTTCTAATGTCCTGAGCGTCTCCAGGTGAGGACTATGACTCACCCATCTCACCCATCTGTTCTCAGGGTCTGACACATGGCACTGATCCTCAATCATCTGTCCACTAACTTGTTCATTCTTATGTTACTCGACGCAAGTTTCCCCTGCTTAGGGCTCAGAAAGAATGGAGGGCTTTGAGCAGGGCGCTCACTATTTTGAGGCTTTGACCCAGCCACTGGGTGCAGGCTGGACAGGTGCTGGCAGGAGGTCCCTTTCTCCCAAGTCTTCCTGACTCTAGGTCTCGCTCTTCTAATGTCCTGAGCGTCTCCAGGTGAGGACTATGACTCACCCATCTCACCCATCTGTTCTCAGGGTCTGACACATGGCACTGATCCTCAATCATCTGTCCACTAACTTGTTCATTCTTATGTTACTCGACGCAAGTTTCCCCTGCTTACCCTGTTAGACTTCTGCCTGTGATTTGAGGTCTGGCAGGTCTGGCTCTTCAGCCAAGGGAGAGAGAAAGAGAGGGAGAGAAACCTCAATGTGTGGTTGCCTTTCACACATCCCCTACTGGGGACCTGTCCCACAACTCAGGCATGTGCCCTGACTAGGAACTGAACCAGCAACCCTTTGGTTTGCCAGTGCTCAATCCACTGAACCACACCAGCCAGAGCTCATGTAAACTTTTGACCAAAGGCCTTTCTTCTGGTTCCCCAGCTCTCCAGCCAGGTCTGCATTAATCCCTCTACCCTCCCCAAGTTCCCTAAGGCTCTTTACCTTACCACAGCATTGGCCCAATGCTACCACGGTGTCATCCCTGACTCCATACTTGCTCAACCCTAAACATGCTACAAGAGACATAATAATGTGGCCATATGTCATGTTTGGTCTAAACTGGGACACTTCAGTGTGCAAGGGGCAGATGTAACTCAGGAGTGAAAAGCACTGACCACGCTCTCCAGAGAGGGCTATCATTGGTCTTCCTCCACCATTAGGGGCTGTGTACCCATGAGTGACGTACTCAGCGCCCTGGCCTTGGTGTTCCACTCTACAAAAAAGGGGCCGCACTGGGCAGATGGTCTGTCAGGTTCTCTAAAGCACTAAAATGACATGGCTGGTGGAGAGTGTTTGCCTGTGAGTTTGGGGCAATATGAACTGGTGGATGTGTTTGTAGAGTTGTCTTAGGAACAGAACATGAGAACTCCAAGTCCAGGGTTGGTTGGAACCCAGCTAGAGGCAGTGGACACCTGCTTTGGGTGTGAGCTGATGACTATCCATTGCATCAAGGGTCCCGCAGTACCAGGGGTTGACTTCTCCTTCCCTTGGGAGGCAGGTGGTAGTCACAAGGCCTGGGATAAATCAGCTGATTTGTCCATCAACATAATTGGCGGGGAGGGAGTAGTCAACATGAGTTTCTTCCTCATTTAGGATGGAGGAACATCTGGATCTAGGAATAAATGTAGATCAGGGTGGTGGAGTTTGGCAAGAAAAGACAAACTTCTTCCTCAGCTGCTTCCTCATCCCACATGCCCTCCTTGACATCCTGTCCCTTTTCCTCTTCGGGTCCTCTCCACTCCACACACAGTCGAAGAGCATGTCAGCCACATAGGGCCCTTGTCCAGAGGTGAGACAGGAATTCTTACAGGGGACTGGGGGAAGAATGGAGGGATAATGGAAGCTTCTGGCGTAGGGGGCTTCCTAGCAGGAGGCTCCTGGAGCTGTGCAGGCTCTCAGGGGCTGCCACTATTCAGGGGAGGACAAAAGGCCCTCACTTTATGTCACCTCTCCCTTTTCTTCTGACTTCAGTGTTGCTGTGGTTTCAGCCTCCCACTCTCCTTGGAGAGAGGCTAGGGACCCAGCTGCCCCTGCTCTTCTATTTGGCTTTCAGCTGCCTGTCACCCAAACTCCACTTCCATGTTGGACAGGATTTCTGAAGCTTCTTATCACAAACCTTTCCTTCTCCCTCAAACAGTTATATTTAGCAGAAGGGACTGTGGCAACTCAGTTGGAAGGGACTTGTCAATGACAAGAAAAGGCACAGTGCTTTAGGGTGGTCTCCCTTGCGGGGAAGCTATGTCTCTATGGCACCAACAAAAACAATTTCAAGGTTTAAAAAATAATTGCAACCAGGTATTTAGCTTGCCTGCCACCTTGGATATGCTGTTTATTTTTTTCTGAATTTAATTAGTTTAAAAACATTAAACTAAATCAATATAATATATATATACACACACACATACATACATACATACATACATACCTTTAAAGACACATCCAGAGAGAATGTGAAAGGCAAATCCATCTGGAAGCATAAATGGAGAGGGATGAGAGGAAACACTGCTAGAGAAACAGTAAGAACTGAAGAAAGTAGAAGTGGAGAAGAGAGGCGAAGCTAGTACGCTCAGTTGCCTGGAGGAGCCTCTGAGTCAAGCAGAAGCACACCTAGGTGACTAAGGCAGTGGTAGAATGGTGTTCCTGTTACCATACAGGGGTTTGGCCCAGAGTGGGGCTGCCTAGGGCCAGCAGTAATGTGTGGGTTCTTGACTTTGTGTAGGAAAGACTTCACAATATGAGTCCAGGTGACTATGAGGATATGTTTATTAAAGTTGGGGACAATAAAACAAGGAAGGGCTTAGCATAGAGGAAGCAACAGTAGAGATTTGACTGCCTTAGCCCACTGGGAAGTCAGAGGAAAGGGGGTCTTGGGGACAGATTCAGGGGATTGGCCTGGGCCAAGCTGCTCTGCCCATTGCTCCCCTGATTGCAAGTCTTGGGGTTCCTTAGAATTTAGGAGAGGCATGCCTGTGGGGAAGGAAGTGGGGGGAGAAGAAGGAAAAGGAAACTGTTTCCCAGAGGAGTGCATGTATACTGGGCCCTTTGTCTTGAGGCTCTTTATCTCTCTCTTGTAGGCAGGAATCTTAGGGGAGGGTCTATGCAGAATATTCATCAGTTCTGTAGGTGTGCCCTGTCTGGAAGAATACTGGTCTCCACTTACGAGTCAGTGACAAGGCAGGGGCCAGTAGTTATTGCAGTTGGTTCTGGCATCACCCACCTGGTTTTGCTGCTTTTCTGCTTCTGGAGCTGAAATACAGCTGAGGCCTAGATTTATTCCAGGGTGGTGAACCTTTGTACATGAATGTATATTGCTCGGCCATTGTGTTCAGCCATCTGTCTGTTTCCCTATTCAACTTGCCAAGGAATTTTCCTAGCTTGTTACTATCCTGTCTCACTTAGAGGTAGGTGCCCAGACACTCACTAAGCCCAGGCCAGATTTATAGCCCTTCTTATCTTGTCTCGAGGTGCCTAAGTATGGGCTCTTCCTGGATCTGCTTGCAGTCTGCACCCATCTGCTAGCCTGCAGTTTATGGCTCAAATGTCAGAAAAATCACTGATAAACTTTGTCTCAAACATGCTCCACCCTCCACTGGCTCCAACAGTGTTTGATATTTGATAATCAGAAACCAGATGTTATGAGTGAACTAAAGACATCGGCAGGACCCATGGGAGACACAAGGAACAGTTGAACTTCTTCCTGGAAGTAGTCATCCTATGGCCTGAGGTAGCAGAGGACCCAGGAAGCTGTGCCCAAGACCCTCTGGGCAGCTCTGCACCATTAATCCCATGAGGATTTGTCTGCCTGGAACCCAGGTGAAGCTAAATAGGCCAGTTTAATCAAAACAGTGCTGTTTTCTTGAGGACTTGTAGGTTCTGAGAATTTTGTTTCTTTGTGGAATATGATCTTTCAATTAAAACATGAACATCTCCCAGTGAAATGAGAACACATGAATGTCTGTCTCTCTCCTACCCTTCACCATTCTTATACTCTGGCCTAGATGTAAATATCACTGCAACTTATTTGAAAAGCAAATTTCAGGTCCCACCCACCCCAGAGGTACTGGGTCAGGAACTCGCAGTGCAGCTGGGGGTGGCACCTAGTCTGTTCATGGGCCGTTCAGATGATCCTGGTGGTCACTGCAGTTTGTGAACAGACATAATTGGGAATATGGCAAACACATCGCTTCATTGGATGCCTAAGACTGATCACTTCATTTATCTTTTCTAAAATATATTGAATCAATATATTTTAGGCATTCAATAAAATATATTGAATCAATATATTTTAGATCAACCTAAAATCAATAAAATATATTTATTGATTATGGTATTGTAATTGTCTCCATTTTCCTTCTTTGCCCCACTTCACCAAGTATTCCCCTTCCCTCCAACAGTCTCCCCCTTAGTTCATGTCCATGGGTCATGCATATAAAGTTGTTTGGCTTCTCCATTTCCTATACTATTCTTAACCTCCCCCTGTCTATTTTGTATATACCATTTATGCTTCTTAATCCCTGCATCTTTTCCCCAATTCTCCCCTTCCCCCTCCCAGCTGATAACCCTTCAAGTGATATCCATATCTATGATTCTGTTTCTGTTCTAGTTGTTTGCTTAGTTTGTTTTTCCAGATTCAGTTGTCGATACTTATGAATTTCTTGCCATTTTAGTGTTCATAGTTTTTATCTTTTTCTTAAATATTCCTTTAACATTTCATGTAATAATGGTTTGGTGATGATGAACTCCTTTAGCTTTACCTTATCTGGGAAGCACTTTATCTGCCTTTCCATTCTCAATGATAGCTTTGCTGGATAGAGTAATCTTGGTTGTAGTTTCTTGCTTTTCATCACTTTACATATATATCTTGCCAGTCCCTTCTTGCTGCAAGTTTTCTTTTGAGAAATCAGCTGATAGTCTTATGGGAACTCCTCTGCAGGTAACTCTCTGATTTTCTTGTTCTGCTTTTAATATTCTCTCTTTATCCTTAACCTTTGGTGTTTTAATTATGGCGTGTGGTGGTGCGGTCCTCTTTGGTTCCAGCTTTTTTGGGACTCTCTGTGCTTCCTGGACTTGTATGTCTATTTCCTTCACCAAATGAGGGAAGTATTCTTCCATTATTTTTTCAAATAAGTTTTCAATTTCCTTTTCTTTTTGATAGTATAAAACTTTATTTTTAACAAGGGCCTCAGTGATTCCAAGGTTTGATGCAAAGTTTGGGGGAGTGCTTTTACCTTTCATCGTATCAGATGACATAAACAATAAAATTAAGTTACAAAACAATGGAACAAAAAATAATTTCTTTATATAAAAATAATTTCCTTACATAAACTATTAACAGATACCTAAACACAATATGGGCTTTAAAATGAAATCACATGTATATAGTTGTACATGAGTCCAGTATACTACTGGATAAGTATACTTACAGTATAGATAGGTATAGTATAGTATAGTATAGTAAAGATAAGTATACTACTCAAAACCTGTACATTAACAAATCCAAATGCAAACAAAGATATTTCTCTGAATTCCCTGTTTCATCGAGCATAAAAAACCACCAATCTCTTGGTCCTTTTCTTGTACATTAGTCTGTATTCACATTCTCTACATCTGATTGGATCCCTGGATTTTGTTTCATTTTCTGTGTGACAGTCTCCACAGATACATATCATTGGCTGCTGCTTTGGAGGTTGGACATCCTTCTGGGTGTCCATTGTTAGTCCCCATGTAGCTTCCAGAAATGCCTCACTCTGTATTTCCAAACAGACTGCAGCTCAGTTTTCAATTTCTTGCTCTTCCTCTTCTGACATCCCTGTGATTCAGATGTTGGCATGTTTGGAAATGTCCCAGAGTCTACTTATACTGTCCTTGTTGTTGTTTTTTTTTAATTCTTGTTTCTCCTTTCTGTCCTGGTTGAAGGTTCATTTCTTCCTTGTGCTCTAAATAGTTGATTTGAATCCCGGCTTCCTTCCCTTAACATTGGTTCCCTGTAGATTTTTCTTTATTTTGGTTAGTGTATCCTTCTTGTCTTCCTTTATGTTGTTATCATACTCAATGAGTTCTTTGAACATCCTGATCATCAGTTTTTAAACTCTGCATCTAACAGGTTGGTTATCTCCATTTGTTTAGTTCTTTTTCTGGGGTTTTGTTCTGCTCTTTCATTTGGGCCATATTTCTTTGCTTTTTCAATTCGGCAGCCTCCCTGTGTTTGTTTCTGTATATTAGGCAGAGCTGTGTTGAATTCCTGTGTTAGTTGCATGGTCTATTGCAGAAAAGGCACCTGTAAATTGTGTGGGGTGGATCCAGTAATCACCAGGACAGGACAACTTGCTTCACCACTCTGTGGCTTTGTGTGGGGAAGGGCTCAAAGAAGGGACAGTGCCACTGCCTAACTTTTGAAGGTTTGCTCAGCACTCACCCTGTGTGACTGGTGCCCTTCCAGCTGTTGCCCTGGTGCTAATTAAGACCTTGCAGGCCCTTTAAGTGGAGTCTCCTGGAAATCCGGCAGTTTTTCTGCCACCCCACCCCTACCCTCACTGGTTTTTATAGCTAAAAGTTATGGGAATTTATCTTCCTGGTGCTGGAACCCTGGGCTGTGCAGTCTGGCCTTGGGCTGGGATTGCTCTTTCCCAAGGTATCCCTCCCAATTTTTAGCCACCACGTGATTGTGGGACCACCTATTTTGTCATTGCCTCCTCTCTGTGCCACACTGTGTCTCCTTTCCTTTCCAACCCTTTCCTACCCATCTAGTTGAATGTGGCTTCTTTAAATTCTTGGTTGTTGGACTTCCATAGAGCTCAATTTTCTGATGGTTCTGAGTGTTACTTGTTATGAGGTCTAGTTGTAATTCTTTCTGTGGTTGTGTGAGGAGGCAAAGCCTGTTATACCTCCAACTTGACAGGAAGTCTCATCTCATTCACTTTTTATTAGACCAGACAGGTCACGTGGACTAACTTAAAAGGAATAATAAGTACAGCCTTACCATTTACTTTGGAGGAGGGCATCTAGGGTATTTTAGACCATAGATAGGAAAAACATGGCTGTGAACATTATAAGGTAAGTGGCAGAAGCTAGGATTTGCTGTTTCTGTTTCTGAAATGCAAGTCTGAAAAATAAGGTCTTTGGAACATAAGCCAAGTCCCTTTGCCACACAAGACTAAATTAACAGTAATTTCTTGGTGTCATCTATTAAACTAAAGGAATATTTCTCCGATTGCCTCATAAATGTCCCTTAACAGTTGGTGATCTTCAGGCTCCAAACAAGTCCCATATGTTGCATTTGGAGTGTTAGGTGGCTTCATTTCAGAATGTGTTTCTGAGGCTGTGGTTGCTACTGTAAAGCAAAATTAATTTTAGATTGTAATCAAGAATAATGAACATTTATTTGAACAGAAGGAGCTGTATCCCAGGAGACACACATTCAGATAAATTGTATTCAGTGCAACAAAAGGAGGCGGCCTTTTATAGTGAAAGTACCCAGCCACATTCTCAGTTAGGTCCATTTTATGTAAATGAGGGTACAATTTATGCAATTCTGATTAGACAGGGCAGGTCTCAGTACCTTGGTAGAAGACCAGGGCTTCCCTCATAGTGGTTGACTCAGACCAAAAACAAACTGGGTGTAGTGTAAGAAACTGAGTTGAGGATTCACATCAAATGAATGCTTCTTTGGGTCCATACCACAAATTAGGTGGGGACATGGTTAGCATTCAGATTTTGATTTAGCTTGTCTTGAGTGGGGCCTGAGTCCCTGAGAATCTGCACCACTGGACACTGGACCATACTTGGAGGAGCAAGGCTGTAAGTCCTCTCCAGAACCCCACTGCAGTGCATGTACCAATACCCCTGCTTCCCAGGAGCTTCCACCTGACTGCATACCACACTGCCTGGCTTGCTGTTAAAAAGACCCAGGCATGGGGAATGAATTGATTTTGGCTTTTGTTGACATTGTGATTTTTAATAAGATATATATATATATATAGATGTATATATATAGATGTATGTATATATTTGTATATTATTTATAATGAGATTAAGATTATGTCTACCTATATCTATAAGTATATATTTCTGGATTCTTAGGGTATATTCTCAGCAGTGCAATAATTGGGCAAAAGGAAGTTCTAGTTTTCGTTTTCTGAGGAAATTCCATACTGTTTTCCTGAGCGCTGCACCAGTCTGCATTACCACCAACAGTGCATGAGGATTCTCTTTCCTCCAGTCCTCGCCAGCACTTGTTGTTTGTTGATTTATTAATGATAGCCATTCTAGCAGCTGTGAGGTAATATCTCTTTGTGGTTTTAATTTGCATCTTGCTGATGGCTAGTGATGCTGAGCACTTTTTTATGTCTGTGGGCGTTTGTTCAGGTCCTTTGCCCATTTTTTAATTGGATTGTTTGTCTTCCTGGTGTTGAGTCATATGAGTTCTTTATCTATTTTGAATATTAAACTGTTATCCAATGTATCATTGGCAAATATGTTCTCTTATACCATCAGTTCCCTTTTCATTTTGTTGATGCTTTCTTTAGCCCTGAAGGAGCTTTGTAATTTGATGTAGTCCCATTTGTTTATTTTTTCCTTTATTTTTCTTGCCCTAGGAGATATATCGGCAAACATATCACTACATGGGATATCTGAAATTTTATGCCTATGTTTTCCACATAGGCATTCGTTTCCATTTAATGATACATTTCCACATTTCCATTTAATGTTATCATGACTTATATTTAAGTCTTGTATCCATTTTGAGTTTATTCTGGTATATAGTATTAGTTGGTGGACTAGTTTCATTTAGTTGCATGTACCATTCCAGATCTCCCAGCACCATTTATTCAATAGGCTATTTTTACTCCATTGAATGCTCATGAACCCTTTGTCAAATACTAATTGACCATAGAGACATGGGTTTGTTTCTGACCTCTCTATTCTGTTTTATTGATTGATGTGTCTGTTCTTATGCCAGTACCAGACTGTTTTGATTACAGTGGCTTTGTACTATTGTTCGGTATCAGGTATTGTGATCCCTCCAACTTTGTTCATCTTTCTCAAGATCACTGAGGCTGCTCAGGGTCTTTTTTGGTTCCATATAAATTTTTGAAATATTTGTTACATATCTGTGAAACATGCCATTGGTATTTTAATAGGGATTGCATTGACTCTATAGATTGCTTTGGGTAGTATAAGCATTTTAATTATGTTAACTCTTCCTATCCAGGAACACAGTATGTGCTTCCATTTGTTTGTATCTTCCTCAATTTCTTTCTTCAGTATTCTATATTTTCCAAGTACAGGTTTTACCTCCTTGGTTAAATATACTCATAGGTACTTTATTTTTCTTGTTGCTGTAGTAAATGGGATTTTTCCCCTGATTTTTGTTTCTGCTATTTCATTGTTGGTGTGCAGAATGCCATTGGTTTCTTTTTTTAAGTATATTTTATTGATTATGCTAGTACAGCTTCCCAATTTTTGCCCTTTTATCTCCCCTCTGCCATGCATTCCCCAACCCTCCAGCATTCCCTACCCCTTAGTTCATGTCCATGGGTTGTACATATAAATTCTTTGAATTCTGTTTCGTATACCATTTTTTACTTCTCCCCGTCTATTTTATGCCTACCAATTATGCTTCTTCTCCTTCCCTGTACCTTCCCCCCTCTATTACTCCCCTCCTCCTCCCCACTGAAAACCTTCCGTGTCTTGTTCATTTCTCTGATTCTGTTCTTGTTCTGTTTAGTTTTTTTCTTTTTCGTTTTTTTTTTTAGGTTCAGTTGTTGATAGTTGTGAATTTGTCGTCATTTTACTGTGCATATTATTTTATCTTCTTTTTCTTAAATAAGTCCCTTTAACATTTCATATAAGGAGGGTGTGGTGATGATGAACTCCTTTAACTTGACCTTATCTGAGAAGCACTTTATCTGTCCTTCCATTCTAAATCATAAATAGCTTTGCTGAAAAGAATAATCTTGGATATAGGTCCTTGCCTCTCATGATTTTGAATACATCATTCCAGCCCTTCTTGTCTGCAAGGCTTCTTTTGAGAAATAGTCTTAAGAGAACTCCTTTGTAGGTATCTGTCTCCTTTTCTCCTGCTGCTTTTAATGTTCTCTCCTCTTGAATCTTGGGTAATGTAATTATGATGTACCTTGGTGTGTGCTTCCTTGGATCCAACTTCTTAGGACTCTGAAGGTTCCTGGGCTTCCTGGAAGTCTATTTTCTTTTCCAGATTAGGTTAGTTCTCCTTCATTATATTTGCAAATAAGTTTTCAATTTTTTGCTCTTCCTCTTCTTTTTGGCACACCTACGATTCAGATGTTAGAACGTTTCAAGTTGTCCCAGAGGTTCCTACATCTCTCTTCATTTTTTTGATTTCTTATTTCTTCATTCTATTATGATGAATACTTATTTCTTCCTTCTGCTCCAAACCACTGGTTTGAGTGCCGGTTTCCTGCCCTTCATTGTTGATTCCCTATACATTTTCCTTTATTTCACTTTTTTTTACTTTTTTTTTTACTGTTGTTCAAGTACAGTGATCTGCCTTTCCCACCCACCCCTCTGCCCCAGCCTTCCCCACCTCCTACCCCTGTTTCCAACCCCCTTGTATTGTCCATGTGTTCTTTATAATTGTCCCTTTAAACCCTTCACCCTTTTCCTGTATTATCCCCTCCCCTCTCCCCTCAGGTCACTATCTGCCTATTCTCAGTTTCAGTGTGTCTGGTTATATTTTGCTTGCTTGTTTGTTTGTTGATTAGGGTGCAGGTAAGGGTGCAATCACATGGTATTTGTCTTTCTCTGCCTGGCTTATTTCACTTAGCATAATGCTCTCCAGTTCCATCCATGCTATTGCAAAGGGTAGGAGATCCTTCTTTCTCTCTGCTGTGTAGAATTCCATTGTGAAAATGTCCCACAGTTTTTTGGTCCATTCACTTACT